CTACAAGCATGCTAAGAAGTGCTCTTCCACCGAGCTCCTTCCCCAGCCCTGCTGCTCTTTCAGAACCTAGACTTTGTTTGTTACTCCTAGTGGACAAGCTTCTGAGCGAGGAGATACTCAAGGTCTCAGGTTCTGATCATAAAATACATTGCCTTTGATCCCCACTTAATCAGCTCTAGTAGATCCAACCTTCTGTGCATGCAGCTGGTGCCTTGTTTTGAAAACTGTGTGGCAGTTCTTTCTTTGGTTGGCTGTTCTGATTCAAGTGGATTATTACCTTTTTAGAAACTTGGATAGAATAGTGTGTTACATTCTTGTGCAGGCATGCTGTTGATTGGCTCTGTCTTGTCCCCTGTTGTTACTGAGGACTGTGGGCCATTATTACATTCTGTTGTGAGAAGTAGCAGAAAAGGCTGTAACACTCATGGCGTGCTTCTCTATGTCAGCATATAAATGTCAGCTCCTAGAGAAAGCTGCAGCCAAGGACTGCCTGACAGCTGAGTTTAAAGCTGTGAGATGATCTTCTCCAATGGCCTTGGAGTTTCTTAGACTTTCTGTTTTTGTTTGGAACAAAATCTTCTGTGGAAATCCAGGACATAAATCTGGTAAAAGCAATGAATTGACAAGAGTTTTAATCATTATTTTTAACGTATCCAAAGCACTACTTTTCCCCAAAGCTCTTAGGTTTCAATAGGCACAGTTGGGAAAATAGCTGATATTACTAATAGCTTGCAAGGAGATAAGAGACATTACCAAGTACACTGTCAGCATTTAATTTCTCTCATGAACCCACAAGGTAGACATCATCTCTATTTTACAGATGAGAGAGGTTTAATGTCCTGCTCGTGGTCATATGGTTAGTAAGACATGCAGCTGTTATTTCAGTCTGAGCGCCCTGACCAGCCAGTTCTCTAATTGTTAATCTGGTAGAATCTTATCACTAGATGCCTCAGGTCAGTGCCTCCACCAGCCCTGGAATCAGGAATTCTGAACTCTGGCTCATGGTTCTTTGCACTGCACCATAATGACAACTGCTTTGGAAATACGGAGAGACTTTTAACCAGTGGGCTAGTTTTCTGAAAACATGGTTCCCTTAAAATGCAGCGTTAACCATAGTTTAAGAATACCTTTTGTAAGGAAGATGAAGTATGTGACAAAGTAGAAATAAAAAATGTCTCTTTCTGTCTTCCTCCTTGCCACCTTTTGTGATTAGAATACTCAAAAGAATCTTTGGATTTTAAAAATGTTTTTGATTTTGGGGAGGTCAAACCCAGTGCCTGTCCATGCTAAGCGTGCACTCTACCACTGAGCTACATGTCCAGCCCAGCCCCTGAAAAAGGATTTTTTATTGGGGTGGGGGTTGAAAAAAAAGTAAACGACTGGTTTATTTATCTTGTTTTCCAGGTCACTGGTATTTTTTTTAAAATGAACTAAATCCTAGTAGCTTAATATGAAGCATAAATGCTTTTCAAATGGCAATATAAGTACATGGAGGCTTACATGTTATATAATACAAAGAGCCACTTTGTGTATTAATTCTTAAGATGGGTCTGGTAATCAGAGTTACAAAGGACTGAATATTAGAAAACATTGATTGAATATACTGAAGCAACCTTGAATGTATTGAACTGAATTTTTGTGGGTTGGTGGGGAAAGACAGTCATCTTTCCCTGCTCTAAGTGTCTTTATGGCCTTAGATATGTTTCTTAGGTGACTGATAGAGTGGTGTGTGTGGCTTGTCACACTGGTGTGCAGACTCTGAGGTGGATATTTGCATGGAGGAGTTGGTTGGGGGCTGCTCTCTGAGGTGGAGAGAAGGGAGTGGCCTGAGCAGAGGGCAGTGATGGACTCTCCTGGCTGACAGCCCTCCAGGGAGCTGGGATGATCCCTCAGAATGGAGGTGAGTTGGAGTGAGTGGTGTCACACACACCTTAGTCATGGGTGTGGGCTGTTCTCAGGGGAAGGCAGAATCTTGAGCAGAGTAGCTCTCTTCATTAGAAGGTAGTTCTCAAAGGTAGTCCTGTCAGCCAGGAGTGTTCTGCACAGCTGGGTGAATCCTAGGTGGGTGAATCAGTCCTACGGAGTGAGAAGTTGGTGTGGGAGAGTGGGTATTTTAGCATCATTCCAATACTGTTAACTTTTGAAATTCAGTAAAAGGGTAGGGAAAGGTGAAAAGAAGGTCATAGATATATAATCACTGTGGTCTGTGATTCTTTTGAGGTAGACCCATAGTTACACAGGATGTAATCTGTTAGTTACACAGGATGTAATCTGTTAACAAATTTGTGTGTGTTTGTGTTGAATGTTTGGTACGTAGCCCTGTAAAAATAGAACCTCCTTTTTATATAATTTATTAGTTCATGATGTGATTTATTCTCATATTAAGTTCCAAACCTTGCTAAGTCATAGGTACTTAAAGCACACACTCAAGAATGTGCTTGAGGAAAAGGCTGGGACCATGCTGCAGGGAGAAGATGAACATGGTTTACAATAAAAAGTTTTATAAGTGAAATTCCAGAAACTGATGCACAGGGAAAATTTAACGTGAGGATTGATGGTTAAAGAACTGAATTTGTATTTAAGGTAGTTCATATTTTTATGTAGTATAAATAATTATAGAAAAGCACGTATGGTTATATTTTAACTTGTAACTTAAGTTGTATACAATAAGCTATAGAATATATACAGCTGTGTCTTATAGTGTTGATTAGTGTGTGCCATGTAAGAGCAAATACACAAAAAGGCTTGAATCTACATTTTGGATACTAGTTCTCTCAGTAGATGTTAGTATATCCTAATGATGGTGAGGCTGTTACAGCTTTCAGTGACATAAACAGCCACTGTAGCATGCTTGCCATAGTTTACCACTATTGGTCTATCCTCTATCCTAGAGTAAAGTAATGAATTGGGGTATGTTAAATGGTTCATGTTTATTTTTATTTTTTTTTTGCTGATAGGATAATTGTTTGTATTTATAACATTTATTGAAGTTACTACTAACTAGTTAAACTTTTTGTTCTTGTACTAGGGATTGAGCCCAGGCCCTTTGTATCAGGCTATATTCCTACCCCTTCTAAAATTTTTAAATCTTGGGACAGTGTTGTGCTAAGTTTCCCAGGATAGACTTGAACTTGGGATGGTCATGCCTCACCCTCCCAAATGCTGTAATTATAGGCGTGTGCCACCATGTTTGGCTCAGTTGGATTTTACGTATATAGTTAGATCCTACTTAAGGAAAAAAAATAACCCAAGAAACAAAGAACACATCAGTAGTTACTAAAAATCCCCACGTGTTCAAGACTGAGTGATACCTTGTGATGATTGTAGTGCCAAGGTGCTAGTGTTTCAGCTTCTCTGAGCCATAATTTTTCCTATTCTCAACATTTTAATCTCTCCAAAATTGTATTTATAATATGTACAAGTTCTGCTGTACTCTTCTGATTTAATGGCTTAGCAAGCAGGCAGACATGATGTTTCTTTTGCGGTGGCTGTAGGGGATCATATTTTCACCAGTACATTCTCGTTTGCCTAGGTGAGTTGCTCACTTGTGTCATCCTCAGATATACACTTATACAAACATGGTATTGCTGAAGGAACTGTTTTTGGCGAAGTCTTCCCTAACCTTTCCCTCTCATTGTGGCTGCAGATTGACCTCTCTTTCTGTCCGGCCTTCCCGGTGCTCCTGATTCTTGCTTCTTTGCTACATCACCATCACTTTTCTCTAAGCGTTGGTTTCTTCACCTGGAAAATGGCAATGCCGATCCTTCCTTTGTCGGTGGTTGTGAATGTGCAGCGTAGTGTGGGCCTGGCACAGAGGAGTGCTCTGTCATCCCCAGCCCTTCCTTCTTTCTGGTGGCCATTGCTGTTACCATCCCACAGTGAAGCTGAGGAGTTTATTCACATGTTCCACCCTGTGCATCTTGGGGACTTGAGTTAAATGCCTGTTGAATCAACTCATGAGTAGTAAAAGATTGTGATCCCTGCCATCAGGAAGATGCCAGACTGGTTCTGGAATAGCTATGTCAGAACCTGTGTGTTGCAGGATGATGGAGTTCAACTGTGAAGTTTATGAACGAAAGAGATTAGTAGACTGGTAAAGGTAGGCACTTAGTTCAGCATTTTTGGAGGAGGCACTGGATATTATATTATACTCTGGGTCTTGTGCATACGAGGCAAGCACTCTACCAGTGAACTATACCACCAGTTCTTTTATTTCATGTTTTTGAGATAGTCTTAGTAATTTTCCCAGGCTGAACTTGAACTTATCCTTCTGTGTCAACCTTTTAAGTAGCTGAGATTACATGTGTGTAGCACCATGCCCAGCTATCATAATGTTTTTTTTTACTAAAAGAAATTTTTTTACTAAAATTTTTTACTAATTTTTTTTTTTGCTAAAATTTACTAAAGAAATGTTTTTACTAAAACTATACTGGGCATGTTATATTTCTGCTTTGAATTTTACCCCCTTCAACTTATAATAACAACTTGTTTTTTGAAGTGTACATATGACAGGGATAGACAGAGTGCTTCCCTTTAGCCTAAGAAGCTGCAGTTAGATGTGAGGGTGCTGGTTAAATGCATTCAGTTCCTTTTGACAATTTGCAAGCATTTACTGAATGTTTTATCAATTCTTCTGGCTGTGTTGTTATGTGGAATAGATGATAATTTTGTATGCCTCGTTGTGTTAGTGTATAGCTAATTGGAACATTTTTGTTGTTTTAAAACTTCATTATACTGTGTGATTATTCTATGTAATAAGTTTGAAATGATTGTTTCTCCAGAGTGAGTGAGCCAAAGTAGAATTAATTACTTTTTCAAACACTATTTTTTAGACAGCGTATTCTTCTTTGTGATTTTCCCCCTTCCGCCATCATATAAACTAGATTTGGGGGAGAAATCACAGAGGGATTTGTTCAGACAGTTACTTGTTTGATTCCCTGAGAGGAACTGGCTCTTTGATCTTCTACTTATATAGCTCCTCTGATCTTTTATTCTGTAAGGTGTTTGCTTCTCGGTATGATGGATGTTTCACTGACCCCAGTAAATGGAAGAAAATTTTCTCCAGCCTTTAAATGTATTGCCTTCCTTGCTCTTTCAAAAACACACTCTTCTTGGCTAAGAACACTTTAGAGGCATTTGGCATCAAATCAACAGAATGGTGGCCTTTAATGGAATTTGAGGCATCAAGAAGCAGTTTGATTGGTAAGAATCCATTTTTCTTTATTCGTGAGTACTCCCCTCACACAGCAACAAACACACCCTTCCTCGAATTTTTGAAAAAGGACTATCTGATTTAATTGAATTTTCTACATTGGTTTTTATTATTACTTCCCTTTTTTACCTTGAAAGGGAGGAAAAACTCAGTGGTGTACGAGTAAATTAAATTATGAGGAGCATAGTCTGTGGGTTAAATAAGATGAACTAAGGTTTTGGAACTAAATCTGTGATTTGCTGTGATGTTGTAGAGAGTGTAATCCATGACTCAGAAACTTATTAGTCATTTTGATAGATGTTGATTTGACTAATTACCCTGAAGACTGGATGACTGGCTGAATTGCTCAAGTCAACGGAGTAATTTTGATCAAATCAACGAGTAATTATGGTTTTGTGCAGGCAATAAATATAGAATACTGATTATGTTAAACTAAAGATGTTATTGTGATAGAATCTTTTAAACTGTTTAATGCCAGGACTATACAATTATCCATTTACCTTTTTATTCCATGGCTGAGATGCTCAAAACAAGAAATAGAAAAAGTTGTGGGAGCTTTTTGGAGAGAATCATTTTATTTTCTCAATAAACAGTGTGTGAATATGTGAAATAGTCTCTGGTTCTAAGTAAATAATAGTGTATTGTAAGGATCCTTTAATTATGGTATTTTTTTATTTCCTCAGAACCAAACATGAACAGATTTTAAACAGAAATCTCTTTAGATGTCTCACAGAAAGTATCTAGAAGTGAACTGAAAGTTATTGTTATTAATTTTCCTAGCAGTTTTTAGATGAATATTGACATGATCAGGTGTTACTGAAACCCAGATGCTTACATTTATTTGGTTTCTTTTCCAACGTTATTCTTTCCCTTACTTCTGAAAAATATTCCTGAAATATGATGTTTATTACTGAATTTCTAATTGGCAGTGTTTATATGCTATATTTATGGGTATAATTTAAAATATTTTAGAAACAGAGACATGTTTATTTACTGAAAAAAGATCTTAATTTCACTCAAGTTGTCTCTCAAATGGCTTACCTGTGTAGATTTCTTTCATATGGAAGCAAGAAATACAACTTACTTGGACCTTTGTGCAGATTTTGGTATATAATTTTGTGATACTCTTCCAGGGTAGTTATTCTGAGAACTGCTCTAGTATTGTGTTGTCTTTTCACTCACTGTATACATCCTTGAAACCCAGCATACTCACTTTCCCAATCAGAGATTTAGAAAGGAGAAAGGAAGAAAAAGGAAAGATAATCATTTACAGTGTTCAAGTCTTGTTGAGTTTATTCTTGAGAACTGCAAACCCACAGTTCCTTTCTTGGTCCCAGTTTTCACCTGCTTCTCATAAGTATATCTAAAAGCAATTCTTGCATTTAAAGATCACATCATTTTTGTTCAACCTGGCCTAAATTCCTGCTGCTTTGTTTTACTCTCAACTGTGTGTTCAAGTTGGTGGGAAGTATGTTGGTTTCTAGCAAGTGCTTTGCTAAAGAAAGAATATTTTCATGCTTTACCATATAATATGCTGATGTTAGAACCCAACCCCTTAGATAAGTTGCACTTCCTCTCTAGAAGAATAGCATCAAGACATCAATTTTTGGTAATTCCCTAGAACACAGGTGGATTATTATAAATATAACGTGTTAAGATTATAGCATATACAATTATTTTTGTAGAAGAAAAGGAAAGGTACTCAGATTTCTCTTTTGCTTCCACATCTTCATAGCTCCTTTGATTTTAGAAATTAGTTAACTATAAGGTGCAGAATGCTTTGGAGTGGGAAGCAGGAATCCTTATCTGTTTCTTGCTCATTATTTCTCTCTGAAGCACCAACTATTGATAGTGCCAAATGCGAATTTTATCTGAAGCAAACTTTAAACACTGTCTTTAATTTTTTCTTGCTTTCGTCTTCCCTTTTTTCTTTCTCTTGTACAAAGGACATTAACACATGTTAATTTAGTAATAAGAGTTCTAAAGAACTGTAGAGAGCTTGAAACCATTCAAGGCTACACTAGTCATTCCAAGGACAAGTGCAGGTGAATTGAAGCAAAATGTAGGACTTGTGATCTTCTCAGTTGCTTCTAGAGGCTTGTAGATAAACTGAAACTTTCCTCCACACAAAAGCAGCCTCTTTGAAGGTCTGCTTGCTGGTTTGAGGTGACCACTATCCACTTAATAAGCCTTTCCTTCTGTGGCAGAGCAGTTGCTTGTGGTGTAAATGATTTCCCTTTTACTGTTATTTCTTGGATGATCAGGGTAGGAAGCTGAAATCCTAGATCGCCAAGCAGAAATGAGAGCCTCTATCACTGTTTGCTATAATAGCCAGTTACACAGGGCTTTTTCTACTGTAGGACCTTGGAAAAGGCTGTACCTAATGAGTAGTATTTTCGGGTCCAGTGTGCTCTGTTCAGGAGTAGCCACTCTCTTGTCAAATTCTGTTTCATAGTTCCACAAAACAGTGCCTGTGACAAAAGAAGGTTTCAAAGCAGCCAGATCTGCTGTTAACAAGTGAAATACTTTTAAAAGGAGAATTTTAAGGAGCATATTTATAGGTGCATAATCTTTGGTTTTCAAAGAAAATCTTAATCTGAAAGAGTTTTATACAAGTTTATACTGAACAAAACATTCTATAAGAAAAGTCAAATTAAGGGAGCTGCAAATAGTGGGGAAGCCACTCAGGTATAACTATAGTAATTTGCGGTGCAGGACGCTTTTTGGACATGAAAAAGCTTTTGTAGTGAGCTACATATGCTTTGACTATTTTGCTTTTTCTTAAAAAGAGGACTTTGAAAAAAAGTTAAGAACCTTGGCTAACCACTAGAAATGGTCTTGGAGAATATCAAGCTCCTGAATTTGGAAACTCACTGATGTAGTCCCACATAAAGTTTGGCAAAACTCTAACTTTATAAATTCTTGGCATGGTGAGCTTCATAGGCTGAAGGTATATTGCATAACTTTGATTCATAAGTGTTATTAAAATAATAGTTATAAGCAGTACTTCTTAAAAACAAGACTATCACTTCTGAATTCTCTGCACTTTCCTAACACGTCATTTTCATCCATATTTATTCCATTGGGAGTTAGCAACTTATCTAACGGCAGATGTACAGCCAGCCCTGGGTATCTGCTGGCCTCACATCCACAGATTCTACCAAGCATAGGGAAAAAATGTTGAGGAAAAAAGAATTGGATGTCTGCTGAATGTGTGCAGACTTTTTTCTTGGCTTCAGTCCTAAACAACACAGTTTAACCACTATTTACATAGCATTTACATTGTAGTAGGTATTATAAGTAATCTAGACATGATCTAAATGGGAAGATAGGACTTGAGCATGTGGAGATTTTTGGTGTCTGCATGGACCCTGGAACCAGTCCCCCAAGTGCACCAAGGAATGATTATAATTGGCTTTTCATTCGGGCATCTTGTAGTCATTGTGATTGAGGCAGACGGCACCTCACACTCAGCTGCACCTACGTCCTTCAGACTATATTCACTGTGCAGGCTTTTCACTGTCATATTGAACCTAAGAAGAGATTTCTAGGATATTGAATTGCTGTTCTTAAGTTAGACTTAAGGACTTTTCCTTTTGTTTAGGATGATCTCTTTTTTTTTTTACTTTTGTTAAATTAAAAATTATGTTTTTCTAAGTATATAAACATGGTACAAAATTTAAAAAATAAAAAAGTGTGCCGTGAAAGGTAAGTCTCCCTCCTCACCTGTCCCCAGCCAGCACGTACTGCAGTGTGTAGGCAACCATCTTGAAGTTGCTGTGTGTCGTTATGGAGACTGTCAGAGCATTTACAGGCGAATGCAGTAATGCCCTACACGAATGGTGGCATTCTGCATTTGCTGTTCCTATGTATCCTGGTGGCCTTCGTGTGTCAGTACACCAAGAAGTACCTTTTTTTTTTTAAGTTGTAAACATAATTAGACAACTTCCTTTACCTCTGTAACAGAATTTTTGATATAGAAGCCACAAAAATCACAACTGTCTCTTGAAAGTATCTTTAGAATTGGAACTGGTTGTTAGCCTTTGGGGACTCTAAATGGCTTTGTCATGAAGGAACTTTGAATAGTTTTTAAACTTTTTAGAGGACACAGCAGTCGATATACCTAGTTTCTTAAATACCATTAAAAATAAAGTCCAAAAGCAATTTTCAGTCAAAGGAATTTGAGTATTAATTTCATTTTTCCTTCCTCCATTTCTTTTGCTTATCATTCGGTTGTATGGGGCTTGAGTGTGATCTGGTTGACAGTCTTTTCTTGTGAAATTATGGTATAAGATGGATTTTTCTAGCATTATTAACACTCTTCTGTAATCTTGTTACTGTTTTTGAAGCATGCATTTGTCAAAGCTTGAAACTCTTGAAAAGTGCGTCTAAGAGAACGCTCTTTGTTCCCACTCTGTTTATTCTGTCTTATATTTGTATTGGTTTTCCCTGCTATTAAATTGTTGGATTTGTTGGGACTAGGGATTTAGCTCAGCAGCATAAGTGCCTGCTTTGCACGCGTGTGGTCATGACTTCCATGCCCCGTACCGATAAAAAAAAAGTCTCTTAAATTGTTGGAAGTGTTAAAAAAAAAAAAAAAAAAAAAGAACCGAAGAAGACGGTGCTTTCCTGAAATGTTGGCAGTGAATGGGCCAAAACCAGACTGTAAGTGGAGGGAGGCACAGGACCAGGTCCAGGGAATCAGGGTCCATCAGATGCTTGCTTTATTTCACCAGCCCAGAATTGGCATGTGAGATATGACAAAGATACAGAAAAGGAAACGGCCAGAGGATTAGAGCACAGGGGGGATGTAGGCTTAATAAGGTTTTATTAGGCACAGAGAAGAGGTTTTCTGAGGTAGTTTGACCCAAAGTGAACCCCCAGCCTTGCTGTTAGTTATAATTGAGGGCACAGGTCCATCTCTCTTCAGGTTTTCCAATATTGAAGTGTTTTCACCCTTAGCTGGAGTTTACGTGATAAGTATTTTTAC